ACTCGTTTGGTTCATGCAGACTGAAACCATATGAACACTACAGGGCTTATTCACAGGGATCATGTCGGATAAAACGCTGTATACTTTAAACTTGTCCAATGTTATTGTCCATCTACGGTTTTATGGGACACGTTCGTTAAGCGTCCTGCCTGCTTTACATCCAGACGTCCCTCCTTTTACGCCGTCTTAACAAAATTAACAATATTAACAAAATCAGCCAACAGGCAGCAGTGCCTCCCAACTGGACCACAAAGCAGGGTCGGTCCAACATGCTGTAAAGTCTGAATGTGAAGAGACTTAATGAACTTAATGCAGTAACAGCTGTACACACCCACATGGCCCCGGCATCATGTACAATCAGTCAAACCGTCTGTGTGAGGAGACCAGGGCTGTGGGCCTTCGTTTAGGAGAATTATGGAACCATTTTTCCTGCTACTTATATTCAGATCCTTTTTTTTTGTACAACCTAAATAAACGTGAGCGTCTCCCTTCCCCTGACCAGAGGAGGTCTACAGCAGCAGCTCCTCTCTTCATATGACCACTTCATGCCCCGTCCCCGACTCCGTGACTCCCTGACCTCCAGTCTATCTTTGTCCCGGCGCTGCCACGACCCACTGAGTCAGTGGAAAACTCATTTAGGCCTAATTACATGGGCCAGGCTTCTACCTGGGCCGTACTTTCTTTCACTGAAGAGGCACTTTCTTTCTTTCACCCCTTCTCTTTTCTCCTGCGCTCTCTCGCTGTCCTTTTCTCTTTGCTCTCTCGTTTCTTCTCTCCTCATGCTCCAGTTACCAGATCAAGGTAGCCCTGCACTACTAGCCAGCCAAAACACACACACACAGACACACACATGCACACAGGACATCCAACACTCTGGTGTGGCCAAGAGGCCGCAGGTACAAAGGCTTTTAGATGGAGCATTGTTGTCTCCTCGGGGTCAGCCATAGGTTAGGGCCCAGTCTTAATTAGCTGACATAACTTATACATGATTACCCCTCTTGAGGTCCTATGGCCCCCAAACACACACACACACACACACACACACACACACCAAGTGGCTTTCTAAGACGTAAAGCCAAGACGCGCAGCCTACACCCATATCTGCTGTCCTCTAGGTACGACCCACTTAACCCTATCCAGGAGAGAGGCACACCGACGGACACACAGGTGTGCGTTTAGCGGCGTGTCTAAGGTTTAGAACCCAGGGGTCAGGCAGGTGAAATGTAAGGAACCCTGCGGGGAACCTTAGCCCGGGACGTCAGATGGCACGAACACAACGTCAGAAACAAAAGTCATATCAATGATAGATGACAGTCTGGGGTCAGCGTTCAGGTCGAGTGTCAGGACCTACGATGCCATGTCACGAGGAATTTAAGACGCGAGACGGGCTTTGATGTGTTTTTAAAAATCCTTGACAGGTTGGGTTTTTATCTGAGGTTTATAGACGGAAGCATCGCGACAGAAAGGTGGACGGCAGTAGATGATAGATCCCACCACATGCACAATAAATCATATTTTACATCTGTCTGTGCTGAAATGTGGGGTTTAAGTTGGAAATTAAACTTCTATCTGTTCCAGCATTTTAAATTGAGTTTGAATGTATGATGTAGATAAACTTCAGAGCAGCAGTGAAACCTCATAACTACACTCACATCATCTTCTCCTAATGTAATACCATATTGACAGAAAAATTCTTCCTCCGGAGCGGACGCTTCCCAGTAAAGGGATCTGAACCGGCCATCACTCTGTTGGACCAGTCGGCCTCACGTTCATATGAAATCCATAAGGCGGCGTGCAGACGAGCAGGCCGCTGGAAGCTCACGGTCGCAGTGCTGCTGACTGTAATTTACCAACCTGAATTACTCTCATAGTTATTGGAAAGCATTTTGCATTTGCGGCCGCTACACAAAAAGCCATGGTTACAGCACAGCCGATCGATAGCGAGTCCATAAAGCAGACGCCACAGTCACAGGAGCGAGCGCGTCTATAAACCATTCAGAAACATAAACGTAAACTGAAATCTGTTCTGCAACCACAACAGATAAAAATGACTGCCACCATTACCAGTCTATATTACACTTCCAGAAAGTTTAGGTACACTCAGGATATGGTATTAATTTGTTTGGGAAATGCTTACTGCTCTGCGCTGTAATCGGGCTCTGGGGAGCGGATCCAAGGCCAGACCATAAGGAAGGAGGGCGAGCGTCGACAACAACAGCCTAATGATGCTCTGGTAATGGAGCACGAGTGGCTTACTTAGAAGGAGTGCACACATGGAGATACGAGCACTAACGCAAATGGACAGACCTGCGAGGTATCGGCACAGAGCTCCAGATCAGGAGATGTCAACAACATGTGACTGCAAATGAGACAACATTTGGTTTATTTGCATCCTGACGACACAAACGAACTGATCAAAGTAAGTGAACAACAGCAGAAACACGCCGACTCCTGATGACGGCTCACTCTGCCTCCACCAAACCTTTTAACTGCAAAGGTTTTTAATGTGTTTTAATGTGTCTGGGATGTTTAACTGTAAGACATTTCCCTAAGTAGGCTGCTGCACTATGCACAGAGGGGAGGGACTGAAGGCTTCACCCGCTGACAGTAAACAAAATCTAAATAATTCAGAAGCAGAAATTAGGTTTTCATTTGTTATTCTTATCAATTACTGCTTCAGGGTTGTGAGCCGGTGTTTTGGCAAAACTGAAGCACAACGGTGAGGTGGAACTTTGTGATTATAGCATTTCACACACAAAACAAACCAAACAAAATCTTATATATTTCAATCTGGAATATAAAATCTCGATGCGGAGATGCTGATTAAATGTCAAGATGAGTTTCTACATTTGTAAATTAACACATGCACAGGTTCATAACCATGTGGACCGTTTTAATCAGGAGCATGGAGGCTGCATCAGACATTCTGAGGGTCTGCACTCAGTACAGGCCTGTCATCAATGGGCCTCTACCGCCCTCTAGCGGCTGCTGTAGCGCATTACATGGAGCGCCACAATACGAGGCTTTGTTATATTACACTCAGATTGCATTTACTTTTAATTATTAAATTTGATTTAAAATGAAAATGAAACAGTTACACGGTATAAAAGCATTCATAACAAACTATCTGTGCATGTAAATACAAGCTGGAACACATTTAAAAGGCAATGACCCAAAACTTTATCTAATGAAGTTCAGTTAGCTTAATTAGCACCAACTTGTCGACATTAAGCTAGCTATTCTATAAGTTAGCTTATTGTTTTAACCTATCAAAACCTTTTCTGTATATTTGTTACTGTCATATTTAGGTGTTTTTGTTGTTGTTGTTGTTGTTGTATTGTGTGTATTTATGTCAGTTTTGTGTCTCTATTTTTTCCGGTGGTGAAAAGCTAACAGTTAGCTGTTCGGCTCACCTCATGTAGCTGCTGCAGCTAGCTGGACCTCCGACCAGAATAAAGTCCAGGATTCCTTCAGGTTTTACAGTTAGTCCAAGAAAGAGGAGCGTTTTCAGGTGATGGTTTTATGAGGTAGCTCCCAGTAAAACAGAGGCAGAGGACAGGTATTCCAGTTTGGTCTTCTAGCTAGCTTGAACCAAATGTCAGTTCGAACCGCCCGCTAGGAGTGAGGTCATGTCGGCCCACCTGATCCTGGAGCTAATTAACAAGCCCCGCCCACCACAGGTACCCGGAAACAGCAGGAAGTGTTAAAAAAGATGTGGCTGGATGCAGACCCATATTATTATTATTATTATTATTATTATTTTATTATATATGTTCCAGTTCTCTACATACAGTCGTCCATTTAAGAAAAGGCTTAAAAATATAAAATTAAGGCATCAGGTAGTGACATCCATCCATCATCTCTACACCTTAATCCTCATGAGGGTCATGGGGGGTGGAGTCTATCCCAGCTGACTCAGGGTGAAGGCAGGTTCACCTGGACAGGTAACCAGCCTATCACAGGGCCACACTTAGAGACAGACAACCAAGCACACTCACATTCACACCTACAGACAATTTACAATCACCAATTAACCTCAACATGTTTCTGGACTGTGGGAGGAAGCCGGAGAACCCGGAGAGAACCCACGCTGCACGGGGAGAACATGGAGACTCCACGCAGGAAGATCCCGGGTGTCCTCACCGGGACGCCAACCGGCAACCTTCTAGCTGTGAGGCAACAGTGCTAACCACTGAGCCACCATGCAGGCAGTGATGTAATGGAATATATTTCCTTATTGTTTTCAATTATGTACATTTCTGTAAATGAACATACATGAACCCTGCTGACTCCACACACACATACGTTCCTCTTCTTCTATTGAATTTCCCTTCTGGGATAAATAAAGTATTTTTCATTTTCATTTCATTTCTGTCTTGTTTTGTGTCTTCTGTTCGGGGCAGTCGCCTCTTCAGATGGTCAGGTGACCCCCTTTTCATGTCCATCATAAGTCTGTTTATTCAAATTAATTTAGAAAAGTGCACCGAAAACTTCTAGGAATCGTACATCAAAGTTATGATTGAATGCAACATTTTCACCATCACCAATTAAAACACTTGTGAAATAAACCAGAGAACGAGTAAACGGCTTCTAAAAGAAAATCTGGAAAACAAAAACAACGGTTCTCAAAGTAAACTCAAAAAGCATTTTTTAAGTCCTAATATTAGCCCTCCTCCTCCTGCTCCTCCTCCTGCTCCTGCTCCTGCTTTTCCCTTCTGGCTGTTATCAAGCTGGCTTCACAGCATCAGACGCTGCAGCACCTCTGACTGAGATCACAGCGCTGAGTGGGAGCTCATCAATCACATTCTCAGAGTAAATAAACACCCTTTAAAGCATCACGTCACTGGAAGGACTGATGCATAGTTTTTAAAGGAAAACGTCACCTATTGAGGCACAGATGCACACATCCTGAATAATGAGGACACACACACTAGCTACACCACTTCACCCAACACAGGATAAACATTATTATAAATTCAGTAAGAGCCCAGAACACCAGGTTCAGTTGAATTAAAACAGCTTTATTAGTGTACACTGTAAGAAGTCGTATATGTAGGATAGTTGGAAAGCCTATGAAGATCATCAGTGTTGGAAGAAGACAGAAATCCTAACAGACGGTCGTCTAATGGAAAAATAACAATGAATGAATGAAAGTAAAATAAAAAGTACACCTCTATAACATCATATAACACCACTAGTGACATGTAGGAACTTCACTTCCTCCAAAAAGCCTCCTGGGGAGGAGTTCACCAGAAGGAGGCTCATCTGGGGACACACATTGTCATCACAATAAGAAAGAAAAGAATAATAATAATAATAACACCATATGTGATCTGTGAGTAGGAACCTTCGTATGTGTTGAAGAAGCCTTCGTGAAACCTCGTCTGGTTTCCTTCAGAAGGACCTGGTGGGCGTCAGGGTGAAATGTGAGGAAGCAAGAGGGGAAGAGAGAGTACGAAAAAACAAAACAAAAAAAGAAGTAGATGCAAAGGCTTTTGCTGGATCCTGGCAAAATGCACAAGACGGCGTGAGTAGCCATCAGAAAAGACACCACGTAGGTATGCTTCATACCGGGAACGGCTTCATGTCACTGCATAGAACAATGAGCCAGCGATGACGCTTTAGTGAGTGAAAACCCAGAGAACATCCCCGATTGGATGAAGAAAGAAAAAAAGACGGCAAAAATACACGACAGGTGAACAGACAGGTAACATATTTAGAGACAAACATCACCGCATGTGGCTGGTTTCAGTCTGCGTACGAGTATCGGCGGAGTGAACGACGAAAACGAGTTTCCTTAAAAAACAAAAAGTACAGTTGGTGGTTTCCCTGGGTCAAACCAGCACAGAGACGGGCCGTCCTGCAGGACCAGCATTTGCTCCGACCCCAGGAGACGACGGCGTACATCGAACAGCTGATTGAACAACAGCATGTCTGGACTCGGTGCCTCAGCCCTTATGTGATAAACGTCTTCAGGCTTTTTATTTTGGTGTTCTACAGCTAATCGGTAAATGTACAACTCTCCCTCCGCCGGCTGTCGGGAGCGAATAACCAAGTAGAAAACGTGAATGTGTTCGTGTGCACACCGAACACTGTAATGTGACGGCGTGAGGCGAGCGCACGCCTCGTCCCGTCTATTTACACGTCCCGCCCAGAACCTCGGCTTCAGTGGAACATTCTGCTTGTGAGTTAAATGCTGGCTGGAGCGTGAGGAGCAGAGTTACAGTACGGAGGGATGACGGCCGGTGTGCATGTAAACACGCTAAACGAACGGAGCTCATGGAAGCAGCTTCTCACGCTGCCAACTGGAATGTCCTGGATCTGCTGAAGTCAGACACAATCCAACAGATTCACCCTCCAAAGACAGATATCTGAGTTCATACCAGCTGCTGCGATGCTGAGCGTAATACTGGCTGCTGGAACCAACATGCACAAAGTCAGTCGTTTTCTAACGTCTGTGGTCGAGCTACGCATCGAACCAACACTCAGAAATTAAAACATCACGGTTTCCTTCACTCGGTGTTTGGTCACACCCCCCAGAGCTGGAAACAACCAATCAGGCGTTTTGATTTCCCACAACAGCTGATAGAATTCTGATAATCGGGTTTTAAAGGAATAACGATGTTGGACTTTTTCGGTCGCTGAGCACAGAATTACGCTTCAGCGGTAAAAACTGGGTGAACATGTTCTGTCCTATGCTACATACACGTCACGGATCATCGTCAAGCTGTAATCAGTTCAAACAGACGGTATAGTCTAAAAAAAAAAAAAATTAAACGAATACTGGATCCTAATAAAAAGGAAGAAAGCTTTGAAGATTTTAAATATATTTATATATAAAAAAATACATGAAAATACAAAAATGTAGCTAAAAGAACGTGTAAAGAAAATAACTGTGTCTCATTAACGAGCTCGTTTAATACTTAAAGCTTAAATACTTCACTCTAAAATACCAAAGTAGGAACCAGCTGGCGTTTAAATCTCATTAAAACCAATCGAATGCTTCAGACACTCGTCAATAATCCAATTTAGACAATTTAAGGATTTTTACAGTGAATATTCTAAAATACGGGGCTTCTTTCTGTAATTATCTCGGCTCTCGTTGGGCTTTAACGATTTCTGCTCCTGCAATCCGAAGCATCTCTTTCTGTATTTTACATCGAAGGCAACTTTCTTAAGGGTGCATAATTTGGGGGCAGTGCAAATACAGTACAGACGTCGTTTAGTCAATTAAAGTCCCGCATCGCGAGACTTCTCCTAACGATAAAATGTCAGTGATTGGAAAAGAAAAACGTGCATCAGTCCGAGAGACGTGTGCGTTTTCTACACGCGTGAAAACTACGTGAACGGCGTTCGTCTCGTTATCTGTCAGACAGACGGAGGCGACGTTCAGTCCTTCACACAGCTCCTCTTCATCAACGAGCGGGTGTAATTAGAAAAATATAACGAGGAGAACGTGAGAGAAAGAGAGCAAGAGCATGCAGAGGGGAGCGAGAAACCGGACTGTGGCCGACTCCCTAACGAACGGGCTTAACGAGGTTCCGGTGGGGCGACATGTCGGACGCTCTTGCTCTGAGAATTCCTTACTTATCCCAATGATCTGCGCTAGGTAGTAACTGATCACACATTAAAAAGAAAAAACTCCTCACAGAAGTATAAAACACACGGTTCTGAGTGGCGGCCGTGACCCGCCGCACACTGGTGGCTGAACCGGACCAATCAGTACACAGAGAAAATCATCTGCTGAAGTTAGCTGAGCTGGAAAAGAGTGTTTACAGTATGGTATGGGTTTGTTCTCCCAGCGGGCGCCGCTTTGACAGTTAAAGACGGCGAAAGTCCGTCGTGGTCGGGCCTGTGGTGATGACGACAACACAGACCCGACTGAGAGAAGAACATCAAAAATAAAAAACGAATGGAGGTTTGGTCACCAGAACCAGGAAAAGAAAGAGAATCATGTCCAGGCATGAAGCTGACTTTGGTTGAACACGGGCCTGGAGTGGCAGTACGACTGTCGGTGTAAACGGAAACGCTAACGCTGGATCAGAGTTGTGCTGCGGCAGGTAGGCGGTGAAGAGGTGAGCTGAACAAGTGGTCGGACGGGCCGTCCCGCAAACAGAACGTCGCATGCTTGGTCCCCAAAACGGCTGCTGCTGGGTGTTGGAGGGGACGGCGGAGCTCCGTCCTGCTTTGGGCTTCTCCATCAGAGCCTGGATGGAGGCGGTTCCGTCCTGCCGTGGCTCTCTGGTCGTTTTGATATCACGGTGCGCGTTCAGGTATCAGGCTGACGATAACCTGGCGTTTTTCCCTCTGACAGAGCCAGAGGGTCACGGTTCACATCCCACTGCCGTCCACTAACGACGTCGTGCTCTCCAGGTCCACGGTGGAACGTTCCTCCGATGTTCTTGTTCTTAAATGTCGTTTGTACATGGTTAAGACTGCATGGTGGTCTCCAGTAGACTGTCCAAACACTGAATGTCAGTTCCATTTTTTTTGTTTGTTTTTGTTTTTTTAAATTGGCCACAGCACGACCCGTTTAGGACATACTGGAGCAGCGCACTGAGGGGGAACCCATCTGGGTCAACACCTTGTCCAACCACTGGAGGGGGCCGTTGAGATGCAGCTCGATCCAACAGGGGGTGCTGGTGACCGTCTGACGTCTGTAAGGAGAAAGCATGAAGGTAAGAAAAGCTGAACTGAAGTGAGTCACGAGCTCATTAGAACCTGTAGATGATGACAGAACCTTTCCTAGATCATATCAGCATTAATGAACCAGCAGAAATCTCTGATACAAGACGAGGGAGGACGTTAAACGCTTGAGTAATGATTTTTTTTTAAATGATTACCAAATAAATAAAAAGGGAACAGGCAGTGCCCGGGTTTGACCAGATGATCAACAGCAGATCAAACAGCTCACAGCTGCCCTGTGATCCGGCCAAGCAGCCAAGCAGCACCGATACCGACTGCTAACCGAGCTGTACAGCGGCTTAACCCCGGCTGGTGAGGACGAGCCAAAAACACCCCCACAAACACCAGCGTCTGGCTTCTGGGAGGGAGCAGCACAAAGCAGAGCCAGGAGCAGGACAGCTGTTTGA